GGGCACGGGTCCAGCGCCCACCCAAAAACCCATCGCCTGCCTTGGGCACGCCTGGGCTGGGGAGGAGCCGGGCACGCTTGGCAGCGGCGTGGCGGTGGCAGGCAGCCAGCGGGAAGCCGTGCTCACAGCTCTGCCAGCTCCAACGACCCGCGGAGGTAGGATTTACCCCGCGAGGCTGTCCCGAGCCTGTGCTCAAGCTGTGCTACAGGTGGGGAAACTGAGGCACGAATGCACAGCAGCTGCAGCGCCTTGCCCAGGGCACTTTCCTAACTCAGGACCTGTGGGTGTGGGTGCACAGCTGTTCCCAACTTCCAGCCTTTTTAGGGTTTTTAAAGGGAAAAAAAAAAAAAACAAAACCCTGCTCGGTGCATCCCTCCCGCAGGTCTGCCCTCGCTGCCTGAGGTGCTGCCCAGGCAATGGGGCGGCAGCAGCGCTGCAGCACGGAGCGATGCCGTCGGTTTGAGACACACACAAAAGCAACGTCCTACTCCTCCGGCAGGTCACATTCCTATTGTACTTAACCTCCCGGTGCCACTGGAAGTTTACTCTTAAAACAGGACCGATACTTTAATAGGGGTCTGTTTGAAAGGGGCCTCATTGTGGATGTATGATACGGTTTGCCGAACAAAAAAAAAAAAAAAAAGAAAAGAAAAAGGAGAAAACGGTGCCGTTATCTTGTTACAGGGCTGGTTCCCGTCGCAGCCCTGCGCTGTGGGCTCAGGTGCTGGGCTCTGGGGCTGCCTGTGGCAGACAATAGCGACGGGAACAATTGCCTTGGCACCAGGAGTGTAACAGATCTTTGCCTTTAATGTTTCCCATTTAATGCGGGGCGGGAGGGGAAGGGAGGGAATGGTGCTGGGATGCGAAGTGCCAGCCTGAAGGACCAAAACGGACACACCGTGGAGCCTCGAGTCCTCGGTGAGGGACCAGGGATCCATGGGGCTGCTTCCTCCTGGCACAGCGTTTTGGGGAGCACGAGGAGGCCTCATCTCACACAGGCACTGAAACCCTAAGATGTACCACGCAGGCATCAGTGTGCTCACCTCGCCTCCAAACTTCAGCCTGGCAAGTCCAAGGGCTGAGATTTCTGGGATGGCGACAGTTTTTCTTTCGCTTGTCGTACCCCGGAACGGCACGTCCTGCAATTCTCCCCGTGGCCGTGCCACCCTTCCTGCCTGCCAGCTGATCCTATCTGCCCCGTTTGTGTTGCGGCAGAACAGCTCGAAAGGTCGGGGGGGGCCACCGAGGCGCCAGCAAGCCCCCACCCTGCCCGGCACCGCTTGGGGAGCACCGGTGAGAGACCGAGACCCTCCATGTCTCCCAGAGCATCTTCCCGGTAGCTTGGGCAGGCTCTGGCTTTGCAGAGAAGGGGGTGGCCAGCATCACCCCACCGCCACAAAGCAGCAAGAGGAAGGAAAACCAAAAAGCTGCCTTTTTGTGTGGTGTGGTGCCAGCTGGACCAGGCTTTCTCCCCGCCTGCAGTCGTAAGAAAAGGGTTTCTGCTGGCCGGGCAGCTCAAGGGGTGAGACTGCCCGAAGGGAGGTGTCTGCCTGCGGCTGGGGCAGGGACCAAGCAGGTGCTGAAATTAAGTGAAATCCAAGCATTTTGCAAAAATATCAGTGAGTGCAGGAGGCCAAAAGCCACAAACGCACAAAATTTCCTGCTCTGCCGGGGTGTGAGGAATTGCGGCCGCACTGCTCGGCTCGGGGCAGCAGCACCGCCGCCTTCGCCAGTCCTGGGAGAGGATGTGAGCGCAGGAATGGTCCCATACCCCCGTTCCGTGACACAGCACCCCTGCCACTGCCTGTCTCGGGGCTAATCCTGCCCCTCGACTTGGGGTTGATCCAACACCCAAAGGGTTCCTGCAGAAGGGGGGCTCAGGGAGAGCAGCTGGCGGTTGGTTGCCCACATTTTCAGGCTGACCTTGCCCTCACCCGCCCCTCAGGTTGACCAAGACAGCAGGGGAGGCTCTTTGAGGTTTTGTTTTCCTCTCTCCCCCCAGTTACAGCAGCAAGCTGTCAGTTCACAGGTTACGGCAGACATTTCCCTTCAGGAGCCCAGCGTGGTACCCAGTCATCCCAAACCAAATCCTCCCAGCCCAGCAGCACGCAGCCACTCGCCCCGCGGCTGCATCCTGCCCCCACGGCTCAGATAACCAACCCAGCCAGGGGAAAAACACCCACGGCAAAAACCCGAGGGGGAAACACCATGCAGGCAAACACAGCAACGCTGAGGAGAGCCTGGGCGGCGCGACACCACCGCCGTGCACGCACCAGCCACGTGCAGCACTCGCAGCCCCCGGCACCCCCTCCGGAGAGAGGGTAGAGGAAAAAATAAGACACACACGGACGTTTTCTTCTTCTAAGCAGGACCCGAGGAATCCCGGCCGGCCACCAGGACAGACAATAGCCCATCTCCTGCCAGACAAGCGGGCCGCTTTCCTGCCAGACTTGGAATGTCCTTTCGGGGCTGTTTCCAACTGTTTCCGCCCGGCGTGCCTTCGCACATAAAAGAATGGATGGCTTCCTCCTCCATGCCCGGGCAGGGATGGCCAGGGACAAGCGAGGAGATTGGCCCCGGCTGGGGGAAGTTCACGGGGCTGCCATCCCTCCCTCGGGATGCAGAGCATCCCGTGATGGTGGGTTATTCCCTGGGAAGGCGAGAGCGGGCGGCTGCGGGGGATACGAGCTCCGCCACCCCCAGCTGTGGATGGATGGGGACCGCCAGCACGTTGGCTACACGCTGAGGGGCAGAAAGTGGAAGACCCCGGGGTTTACTGCTTCCTAAAAAAGCAGGTTTTAAACCCAGAAGGCCCAGAAATGCTGTCACCACGTGAGCGCCACGGCTCCACGTGTCCCTGATGGATGGCGGCCGCTCGGAGCCGTGGCTCATGGGCCACGTGTTCCCCCGCGGGGCTGCGTCACAGGCGCGCACCCACCCGTGCTGCCCCACAAACCAGGGTGCAGCAGCAACGGAAACGCTCCGCGCTGGGGCGGGGGGAGCACGAGGCAAGGCTTTGCGTATCCTCAAATGCCGCGTTTTCAACATCTTACCTGTCAGCGGCGCTCCCACGGAAAGCCACAACCTCCATCTGCCCAGAAGGCTGCCGAGAGCTCAGGTTGCCGGAAAAGCTGCAAAATCAACGCCGAGAAGGGAGATCTTTGGCAGGTGGAGGGGGATTTCGGGAGGGTAATGCCCCAGGGGGCAGAGGGGCAGCAACAAGCACCCAGCAAGCGCAGGACTGGGCACCAGGCTGGCACCCGTGTGCCAAGATTTGCCCCGGGCAGGATGATGCCCGTATGAGCTGCCAGGCACGTCCTGCCCAGGCTGCTTCACCATCCCAGAAAGACCCCCAGACCCCAGCTGCCCCTCTCCATCCTGGCAAGACTTGGGATCCCATGGGAAAAGCTCTGGCGTCAGCAGGAGCTGGGATTTCCCAGTGGCCACACAAAAAAGACCCGTCTTTGTCCAACCTCCATCCACCATCAGTTCCCTGAAGAAAATTTCTCTCCCTCTGAAGGACAATGGCCTCCAGAAACATCTCTACGGGGCCAGAGCAAAGCGGTGACGCTACGGTGAGAGCATCAGCATCACGGAAACTCCGGAGAACTGCCGGCGCAGGAAGGAGCAGAAGGTCACCCCTCTGCCTGTGACACCCCGAGCACCCCACCTTCCACGCAGGTCCCCTCTCCAACCAGGCGTGGGACCCCTGTCCTGGTGACCCCCCATGTGGGGAATATCCCCCCCTTCACCCCATTCCTGTTGCCACAGCCTCAGCGTTGCCACATTACGGCTCTTTTATTTTTTTTTGGGGGGGGGAAGCATCAATTCTCCATCTACGAAGATGAAAAGCAGCAACGCAGGTCTCCTGTTACCGCACAGCACTTGGAAGATTTAACCCTAACGCAATTACAACCAGCTAGCACAGCATTTACTAATTCTATCCCCCCAAAAACCCAACCTGCCTTCTTCAAAGGCCTCCAGGCCATATCCAGGACGGCTAATGAAATGCATATCTCTCTGATTCATGCCAGCAGAGAAGCCCTTCAGAGGTTCAGGGGGAAATCAAATCAATCCTGCTATTCAAAACTTGAGAAGAGAGAGAAAATAACCCGCATTAATGGCTAAATTCACTAAAGTGAACGCTTGCAAGACAGGGAAAAAGAGATGAATTCTCAGGCTGTGGCAGGGTAAGAGGATCTGGGTTGGTTAACGGGGTGGCTCTGTGTCCTCCACGTACACCAGGAGATCCCAGCTCTGTGTAGGTCGTCTCAAAGCACTAAGCTCCAGCAGATTGAGTCCTTAGAGGGCAGCTCTGTCCTCAGAGACCCGGCTCCTGCTTTTCTAAATTTGACAGGTTAATCCCACTTGCCAAAATCCAACTCACCCCCTCGGGGATTGTGCCCTGGCTCTGCCACCTCCCCGCAGCGTCAGGTCGGAGGGAGTGGTGATGGAGCCCGGCCGTGCAGGATGCTCCCGGTGGGAACGGGAAAACGGAGCCTCCCATGATAACGAGACGAGCACAACATATTCCCTGTGGGTACCCGGGGCCATTTCATGCAGCCTGGCACACATGTGAACGGGGCCCACGTCCCAGCATCCTAACGTCCCCTCATACTAACATTTTCCAGCTTGCTGCTAACTCGTTTCGCAGTGTTTCTGAGGGGGGGTTTTGTCACCTTTCTCTGGTTCTTTATGAGATGGCAGAGGGACACATCACTGCGAAATGCTTTCCTGTCTTGGCATAAAGGATTACTCAGCTGCTCCCAGCCTGCGCTACCCCGAAGCACGGGGGGCTTTGCTGGGACCCCCCTCCACCACCCAACCCAAAATCCAGGAATGCCGCCTGCCGTGAGCCTGGCTGTCTCAGGATGCAGAAAAAACCCCCCAGACAGTAGTTTTATAACTCTCCAAATAATAAAATGAAAATACAAAGACGCGGCC